CTCATCAAATGTTGACAAATTTAATTGCATATGCACTTTATTATTTAAATATGCTTGCAAGTAGGTAAATGAGTTCCTTATCAGACACATACTTGATTTCTCTATCCAATTCCAAAAGCAAACTTCTTTTTTCTACTACGCGTTTAGGTGATAAGCATCGCCTTGCCCGCGGCAAAGCTCTTTTAAGCTTTCTATACATTTTGTATAAGCGCGTGCAGAGTAAAACCACTTTCTGCCCATCGCTGCCTTACATCGATAAGATAGAACTTTTACATTAGGGGTATTCTCGAAGTCTTGCAAAGCCCTGTCATGGTGCATGGAGTGCACGGTTTGCAAATCAGAAACCCGATTTTTACAATGCAATTCGTACAATCCGTGCAACATGCAATGGCTTTGCAAGATTTCGAGAATACCCCTATCATGTCCGTCTATATCTGCGGCTACCAGATACAGCTCCTATTCTGTACTCGTCCATATACAATTTGGGATATGTAGGAAAGCTAAAAATAGCGTATATAGTTTAGTCGCGGAAATAGAAGCTTTTTAAAGCTTTTTTTTTATATTCTGGCTTCAAGCTATAACTACAAAAGGGATACTCAGAGAGCGCTTTTACTTTGTGTGCGGCCATATAAATCGGAGTGAGAGCTTTCGGCCCGCGTGCGCTGTTTTGCGCACCACTGAACTACAACGACAGTTATAATTTGACGAAAATGGTACTCAGGCTTAATTGCACTATGTACAATATNTTCTGGGTGATTGTATTGACGCTGTTGCAGGGTTTGTGCGGCATGTGCTTTGGATTCCTCATCTCATCGGTCTGTGAGCTGGAACGTAACGCCATACAGCTGGCGTTGGGTTCATTCTATCCCACGCTGCTGTTATCCGGTGTGATTTGGCCCATTGAGGGAATGCCCATTGTGCTGCGGTAAGTTTAGAATATTTTCAAGCAATAAAAAAAAAATGTTTATAAAACGTACATATCTTTTCGCGTCTCTATATCGCTCTTTGCAGATACATTTCGCTTTGCCTGCCACTGACACTCGCTACCACTTCGCTGCGGTCGATATTGACGCGTGGTTGGGCCATCACGGAGAAGGCTGTGTACTCGGGCTTTCTGAGTACGCTGGCGTGGATCCTTGGCTTTCTGATACTGACGCTGTTGGTGCTGCGAGCGAAGCGTGGATAATATAATTTGCAACAGTGGCGGCCAAGGGCTCGGCTGCAAATCGGGACAACAAATTAATTTAATTTTTACTCTTGAGTTTTTGTTTTTTATAAATCATCGATACTAGAAATTGAGAAATTGTACATGTAAATTAAAATTTGTACTTAATATGCAAAGTATTTAAGCGAACTGGGTTGATTCGAACTCAGCTGTATATAGTATATGTATGACTTATATATAGCTTGCGCTTAAGACCTTATTCATATTTGTACATATGTATGTAGGCATGTACATACGACCAATGTCGATAAAATTAAAGCTGAATTGTAGTTGTTGTAGAGAGTATATACTATATACATACATACATACATACACACAAAAGAAAACACAACAAATACAAGTGTATAAGGTGTCTTGTCCTAATCTTAGCATTAATTCATATTTAATAGATTATCTAGTTTATTTTACATTCCCATGCACGCACCGTTCTATTTTATCAGCTTTCTGCTTAGCAAAAATATCTAGTTTTTACTTTAAACTTTAAACCTTAATAAATTTAAATCTTATCTGTATCGCTATGTAAACAAAAATTTTATAATTTTTCATTTCCGATGGTCCTCAAATTCATGAGGTAACAAATTTACTTATTCGACTGCAACAAAGTATTTTCGAACTAAAATTTCCTTTTTAATTACTAAAGTCTTTCTCAACTCACAGCTCATAACTTTTTGTACTTAACTTATTTTTATTTTTTTCCGATAACATTAAGCTGTGCACACACGAGAGTATGCCCTACATACATCCATACATGCACATGTAAGTCTATATCTTTATTTGACACTTCGAATTGTGTGCCTGTGTGCTCGCGTAATTTTCATCATTAAACAATATTTTTTTTTTATATAAAATATTTTAATTTAGTTATCCATTTAGTTATGTTTTAAGGTTAAGGTTGTGTTTTTTTTTTTAATTTTTAAGTTTAAGAAAGAATTTAACAATTTCCCTTGTAAATAAAAAATATAAAAAATTGTACTTAAAGAACAAAAACCAGAACAAAAATAATGTAATACAACAACGAATTAGTCGAAATATAGTTTATTTGTATTTTGTGTATTCTGCCTCTGCTAGTCTTCTGTCTTCTCTAATTTCGACTCACTGTCCACTCGAACACAACTTTCGTCCATTTTTGGTACACTGATAAAAAAGTTTCGTAACGTCAACTAAATATCTCTTTCCCTTTTTAGTTATGCAGATGTGTTTTTTTGTTTGTTATCGCTACATATCGCACCCTTTTTGGTTTTTGATTTTCTCACAATTCCCTTTTCTCTAACATTATCTAACACGAATGGACTGTGATTATATTAATTTCCTTTAATTTTTATGTACACAAAAAAGAAATACGAGAAATTATAAAATGTATATGTACATGCATACCTTTTTTTTAGCTACTTTGTGAAATTCTTTGGCACTTTAAGTAAGAAAATTCTATATGTATGTACATACGTACATATTTATGCTCATTCTAATAATTATGTACTTTGAAATAGAAATTTATATGCATTTTAGTTACATATGCTAATGTATATATGTGTAAAAACATATTGTGAAAGTCAAATAAAATAAATATAATAAATTAAAATTCGTCAGCGTCTTGATTTACAAGGAATATCTAGGCCAGAAAAAAACATTGTGAATCCCTATTAGGAAGTACATTCATCTAACCCGCGTCAGAATATATAGAGTCTATTACACCAAATACTACTGTCCAAGATGAAATTTACTAGGACTATGCCACTAACTTCTGAAATTAAGAACATTCTCTTTTTAATAAATTCTGAAATTAGGAACATCCTCTTTTTAATCAGTTAACGACACGAACGAACGGTCAAATTTTCCGAATATATATTTTTAGCGAATTCAATAAGTTCTCAAACTGGTTTCTTGGAGGAAACTAACTGTTTCCAAGCAAATCAGTCATGCCAGATTGTGATAAGTATTAAAAATTATATGGATAATTATGAAATTTTTCTCCCGTTAACCAATTCAAACGCTGAGTATGAAGGAATCTTTCTAGTTATAACTGGTGTTTAATGTAACATGTCAGGAGCGGATTAAGAATGTGGCGCACGATGCCATTATACATGTGGGGCCCCAGTTTTGAGTTAATAATTACATACAATTAATTGGAACAAAGTGTATTTTCATTTAAAGAGTACCGTTAATTATTGACGTTTTCTTTCGAAATTCTCGCCTCAATTCCTTTGTACTTGCCGCATATGTTGTATGCAGTATTAAACGACGGACCACGGCAGTCTCTCGTTTATAAACAGAGATGGAATAGTACGAATATTTTGTCTTTTTGAAATGGCTTATTAGTTTCAGCATCCGACGGAAATTGCCATTATTGGGTGAGTCGAGAGCCTCACCACAGCCAGAAGAAGCTAAGCTAGATTCGGCAAGATGTATTGACGGTGCTGAAAAATCGTGTTAATACCCAGCGATCTTCTCTGTAATATCTGAAAAAATCATTTTATTATTGAAAATGAAAGGGTCTTTTAGGCCTTTAGTAAGTAATCTACGGACCATTAATTTCTTTACTATCAGCTGAAATATGTGTTTTGAATTCTTTGGGAACTTTGTGGGATACATTTCTAAGATGTTGATAATTTAGGGATTTTTTCCTTGATTTTCGTGGGTAATTTAACAGAGAATATCTGGCATCACTGACGCAAATGGAATTAATTTTTAGTAGGCGCCAAATGAAATACTAGTATTTTTTAAATGCATACATATATCAAACGTACATATACATATATATATAGGTACTTATTAATGTATGAATATAGCAACGGAAAGGCAACTTCTTAGTGGAATATTCATACATATATTCGTATATTTGATAGAGCTTGTTGATGTATTCTTGATCCTATGTGTTTGTAGACCAAGCGCACCCTTCCTACATTCCATAATTATAATTCTGTCAATGTATCAATACAAAATTTTCATAAAATGAGATGTATAATGACGAGAGCGGCCAATAGTATTAGCACATTTGTTTGTAAGTCTTGGCACATAAAGAACAACACAACGGCGGTAAATGCAGAACGCTTTGCGGCGCTAAAATGTAGGCGATTTGCAATAGTATTTGTTAATATATATCTACTTGAGTAAAATTGTCACATACACGCTGTTTAGTAAGTGTCGTTTATTTTAAAAACATAGACTACAGCTTAATGGCGGATTGTAACTTTTTTTTTCTTGATTTCCTATAACTTTGTCGTTTCGAAAAGGAAAACAAATTACTTAAGAGCGGAACTTTAGCTAAAAAGATTTGTGATTTACATATGCTAGCTTTTTACACAATGTAACGCATTCAAATCAGGGACCAAAAATAACTGTTATCTCGGAGTTGCAAATTGAAAACGTTGACTGAATTCTGAAATTTAACGAAAGCGTTGTTTCATAACAGTTATTAGATGAGAAATATTTTTTCCGTTGCTGTTAAGAGTTATTTTAAAACGTTTATTTTTCACGTTGCTCGATAACAGTTATTGCCCAACGTTTATTTTTTACGTTGCTTGATAACGGTTATTGCCCGATGTTTATTTTTACGTTATCTGATAAGAGTTATTTCACTCTCTCACTTTTAATTCATCATCTTTATCTTATTCTCCACCTCCACCTCCATCTTCATCCATATCCTAATCTTACAACGTTTATCAGACGACGTAAAAAATAAACGGTGTAAAATAACTCTTATCCAGCAACTTAAAAAAATAAACGGCAATGAAAAAAATACTTCTCCTGCATAACAGTTATCAGGCAACGTAAAAAATAAGCGTTGGGTTATAATTCTTATCGACGAAATAAAAAATATTTCTCATCTAATAACTGTTATGGAGCAACGTTTTTGCTATAAATCTTATAACTGTTATGTCCCTGATTCTAATACAAATATAAAATTACTACCAATTTGCAATAGCCATCTATGCGATTCCAAAAAAACTCAAATAAAAAATGTAGTAAACATTTCTTCTTCTCTCGCATTTTCTGGGGGTTTTGGCGAACCTATAAAATATAGTTACTATGAAAAATGGTAAAATATGAAAATGGGCATTATTATCAGGAATCCCCTGAAAAGAAACCGAGTTTTCCGATCGAAAAATATTGATTTTGAAGAATTCCATACAATTTCTACGAAAACTTGTTTGACCGTTTTGAGCGACTCGTAAATATTTTTTGATTTCAAAATTAAATATATGGTTATATTTTTTCGATATAGAATAATCCTTCGGGTTGAGCGTTTGCACAACTTTTTATATTAAATATTTGTTATCAAGCATTATTTCCTCGAGATTATGAAAGTATGACTTTCAGATAAAAAAAAAAAATTATTAAAAACTTGGAACCAAACAAAAAAATTTTACAACCTTCACCTTTTTATGAATTATAGTTTTACATACATACGTACAAATTTCGTCAGGTGTATCGTCACCTGAAATGCAAAAGTCGTAACTACATATCGTCGCTGCGCCAACAAAAACAGTTATGTGATTTTTGTCATTTTTTTATTGCATATTCTATGAACACTATCTATTGCCCACATTACTGCATTTGCCGTTCTCTTATATATCTTTTGGTTTAGAACTGACTAAAAACAGCTATGTCCCCGCAGTACTAAAAATACCCTGAAAACACAGATGTACGCTTACATGCTTATAATTGTTTTTGATCGCAGGCGAATCTGATGAGTATGCTTTGATTTCGATGTTAAAATTATTATAAACCAACTAAATACATACTTGAAAAAGTGCATTGGGTGAAGTTAATACGCTGACCGAAAAAACAGTTCGCATCTCTGGCAATTTCATAGTTTTTACAAAATATGTGTGTGCTCAATACTTTGCATTATTTTTTATTACAAAAATCCAATAAAAACCCTTCTGACCATCTTTCATTACATAACAGGAGCAACGGACAGTTAGCTAATCGAGTCCTCAACTTCTATACATTGTAGAGCCAAAGAACGTAATAACGTTCGCAACGTTGTTTACGTTCTTTGATTCAGGCTGTGAGATGGGATTATCTGGAAGGTATAAAGAAACGCAGCCGTTCTTTTCCACAACCGCAACATTGCTGTTGGGATAAAAAAATCCCTGACACTCTGAAAAGTCTCAATAGCCGGGGGATTTTGTGATTCACCACAGGTACTTTTTGTTGTTTTATTTTTTCACCACGATTTTACGAACAACCGGAACAAAGCAAAAACTGTTTAAAAATACGAAAGTGTGTGCAGCAATTTTTGGATTACTCACTGAAGAATTTTGTGTTAATTGCGATAAATTAGTTATTTTTCAACGTTTGAGAATGAATAAATAGCTGAACAGCAAGGTAATTTGTACTCTACTCATGGTGTAATAGGACCAAGGAAAATATGGACAAATCATTTGTGAATCAGTTCACTTCCTATGTGGAGCAGCTACGCACTACGGAATGCAGGTGTGTTTTCCGAAATGGTTTACCTTTGTTTCCTCCTCATCTTGTTTAATAAATCTTTTCCACAGCCAAAAAGGAAAAATAGCTTACTTTCAACATATCGCCGAATGCATTATGTCGCCGGCACTAGCTGGCCACATAAACTATGCCACGCATATAAATACGGCGACAACCGTGCTGCTGCTATTTTGTGAAGATCTTGATCCCGTGGTCAGAATGAACGCCGAAGAAAATCTTAATCGCATATTTCGTGCATTAGAAAAAACGCGAGTTAGTCGTATACTAATGGACTTGTATGGAGAGATCAAAAGAAATGGCAACCAAAGGTTTAACGATTTCGTGTAAATTAAAAAAAAAATTAGAATTTAACTTGTTTTGGTGCTTTTTTCATTTCTAGGTCCTTGCGCATTTGTTTGAATCTATTTGCCTATTATGCACCGCAGATACGGGAACGTAACATTAAATGGTATGCTATTCGTTTGTTACCTTGTTTACAAACGATAGCGCAACGCAAAGAGACGCAGCTATGTGAAACCCTATGCGAATTTGTAAAGAGCTTTGGAAAGTGCTTGCAAATGGGACTGACAGATAGTGAAGCCTGTAAACTTTTTGAGGTAGGAGAAAATGCATCGAGCTATCATATAAGTAGTTAGCAATATTGAGCGATATTTATAGTAGTAGTTGTTAAAGACTAGAAATACTTTTTCTTGCCATTAGAGTACGGTTTTCGTTAGACTGCCCCTAAAATTTCATAAAACACATGCCGATATTTAGAATTTAGTTGCCTTTACACTAGTAGAACCAAAATCGATCAGTGTTTTGGCTGATCGATTTCCCAGTCGAAAGAAATCGACTCGTGTTAAGGCTGCTTGATGTTGGAAAATTTACCTGCAGTTTGGAATACCTGCATTTCATATACTATTTAACTTGCTTTTAGTCAATATTTCCGACTGACATACTTAGATTTGTAAACTGATTAAATAAGATAAATTAGAAAAATTTAAAACTTATTTGTTACATATAAAGAGTATGAAATAGTCTGGCAGTGTAAATTTTAAATTTACAATTTTTTTTCTAGTGTGCAATTTTTTTTTCGTTTTCAAAATTATAATCCTAGCTATTAGCCAGGTCAAGGTAGCTCAATAAGTATAGGTAAGCTACAATCATTTGCATAGAGCTGAAAATTGCTACGTATTTTAGAAACGCTATTGTAAATAAAAAATGCAAAAAAATGTATCCATGGTCAAAGGTTGTTGTTGTAGCCTTTCTGTTTTTGTTAGCCAAACTGTATGGTTTATTATAAAAAATCATTATTTGAGGTGCAATAATACGGAAGTTATCAAGTTATTTCACGCTGGTATTTTTACCGAAAGTAAATTTTTATATTATTTTTTAAATCAATGATTAGCTCTTAAACCTCTAATCCGATAGGAAAATGTTACTACTAAAAATTAGAGATTTAAAAGTATTTAAAAAGTAAATTTAGCTATTCAAGTTTCTTATAATTTGACTTCATTTGCGAATTCAGCGGAGAATTTTCATATGAAATGTTAGCATTTGTCCTTGTAATGTGGTATAATTATTAATAAGATGTGTGGTCTTCTCTAATTACTTCAGACCGCTTTCATCACTTCCGATGGTAATATTTGCATTTCATCCACTATTTTTTAATTAAACAGGACTACAATAAGTGGTGGAGTAGGCATGCCGGGAAAATCATGTAACAAAAGCGCCTCACAGGTAGAGTGGAAATTGTGCATTTTATGAAGAACACACATTGACTGCCAAACCTCAGAAATAGTCATTCCAAAGAACAGAAGTGTTAAACCAGTTTATGTAGATAATTGTATGATCTACACTTTTGTCTAACCTATTATAAAACTTACCGGTTGGCTGAAAAATACAAAATAGAAATTTAAGTGACCATTGACCATGTCCGGGTCTCCCGAGGCAGACGAAATTCTGTCTCGTCCACGTCTGGTGGTTGTGTGCCCAGAACGGCATTTACTGGTCGGGAGTCTACATAACCCGAGACTGCCTCTTTGTGAATTCCGTTTATGGCCTGTCGATAAGCTGTCGGGTCCAGAGGTTGTTTGATGAACCTCCACGTTGTGGTTCTCAACCAAAAACTGCTTGCTTAATAGGGAGTATGTGGGCCTCGTCGTGCAGGTAGTGTTGCGGCGACATCAAAAGGTATCCTGTCGCTGTCCTGAGTTCCGTGTTCTGGCAAGTCTGCAGCTTCATCCACTGCGTCCTACTAGTCCCCGGTGACCACACGAGCGCTGTATAGTTCAGAACCGGTCGGCCAATTGCCTTGTACGATGCCAGCAACGTTACTTTGGCTTGCCCCATATGCTGCTGGCTAGCGACTTGAGGACCTTGTTGCGGCTGTGTACTCTGTTGACAACTGCGTTAGGTACGCTACTCCCGCAGGACCCAAATTCCACAGCATCAACATGCATATTCCGTCGGGTCCAATGGCTTTGTAGGCTTTATTTATTTATTTATTTATTCATTTATTGACAGCCTTTAAAGGCCTATAACAAGTCTGAAAATTTACAATATTTGCTTACTATTTTATTTGGTACAATTTTGGGTTTATAGTTTTTATATTGATATATGCATACATTACATCACAGGATCCACAATCATACATGAAAACAATATTCTTATTTCACTACATATTTTGTTCTTACACATTTTTTTGAGAGGACTATCCTAACATTTATCCTGTACAAATATATATACATTTAAACAAGGTAATTTTATTAATTATATTAAATTAAATTATAAGTGTGACCGTGGCTGTCGGAATGGACGGGATCCCGAGCAGCCCGAATGTTGGGTACTGTTTAGGTGGGCGGCCCGAAAGGACGAGTTCCAGAGCCGCACTTCCTGTACCATTGCTGTGGACTTTATTCCAAGTCGCAACTTCACTTCAGGCTTTGTGGTCATATGTAAAGGCTATAAAGTAATTTGTGATCAGTCGGAAAGTACTAGTTTCCGAGCCAATCTATCTTTAAATATTCCTGTTATACAAGTGGTCTGAAAGGATCTAGATCTTGAGCCGTACTGTAGGGCGAATGGAAAGGACTAGTTTCCATGCCGACCCTCTCTACTGTAATTAAGTAAGTAATTTGTGATCAGTCGGAAAGTACTAGTTTCCGAGCCAATCTATCTTTAAATATTCCTGTTATACAAGTGGTCTGAAAGGATCTAGATCTTGAGCCGTACTGTAGGGCTTTCGCATCCCCGATGACTACCCTTACCTCGCCGCTGGTGAAAACAAGAGGCGCCCTAGGTTTTGGCTGTTTGTGCAGCCTTCTGGTCACTCGACGTTTGGCTTTATCCACTGGAGGATGCAAAATGAACTGTCGGCTAAATTAGATCGCGCATTGCTTGGGGTCCGACGAAGCGTGGTTACCAAAGTCTATTTCAACTCTGTCGGCACGCTTCGTCGGGTTGGACAATGACCTCGCGGTTGAACAAAGCTTACTCACACCAGATGCTCCATCCATTTCTTCCGCTTATGTACGTTCACAAGTTGCCGAATCTCCGANCGGGATCGGCCTGACGGAGGTTGTCGCTCTGATTGGCTAAGACAGCCGCTTCAGCAGGAAAATTTGGACGGGGGTCCGAGATACATCCTGCAAGGACGAAACAAGCTGCAGAAGCAGTGACAACCCTGCGAAATTTACGCCCACCTCCGTGAACGTCGGTTGGTGTGGGTAGTGCAGTGAATGCGCTTTCAGTAACATCCCCGAAGTCTTTCCAATCAGCTTTAGAAAAGTGGACATAGATCCGGTGATCCGCGAAAGCAAAGACGGCTGGTTTATCAATCGAGAGGATTATGGGCACATGGTCTGATGCTAATGTCAGCATAGGTCGCCATGATATGCTGTTTATCAGACCAGCACTGATTATTGTTAGGTCTGGCGAGCTGCAGCAGCTGCCCGTAATCCTGGTGGGTGCGTCGTCGTTCATTGTGCAGAATGTCGAATCGTCTTTTCTGCCTAGCCAGGAATGCATGCGTTATTCAGGCCACTTCAACTTTTATTTATAAAAGGTTTGGTTTTTCTTCTCATTAACCAAAAATGCATATTTTTAAAAGCACTCCAGCTGAATCTCTCCTATCTAAGCCATTACTTCACCCAGCCACTGCACGTCAACATTGAAAATCGCTTTAGATGGTTTAAAATTGCAATTGTAAATAAATTAAAGCACATATAGCACAGTAAGAAAAATACATAAATATACATATGCATATATGTACATATATTTGTGCTATTGCAGCCAGAATAAGTCGGGCGGATGTGTGCATCGCTTCGCTTCTGGTTGCTGTGCACACATAAAGGTTGAATTTTTTTCTGTTCACCTTATCAAAAAAAAGCCCCTTCTGTATAATTGCATTGGTCTCTTAGTATTCTTCTTCCTCCACCACTACTACATACCCATTTTTGGTATTTTAGTGTTTTAATATTTCATATTTTTCGTTTTAGGCTTTCATGGCAAATATGGGCGTCGAGTGTGCCGTGAAGCGACGATGCTCGGCACAAAATTGCATCAGTCTGATTGAAAACTCGCGCAATAAGAGCTTAATGGCCAATCATGGACTAAGCAAAGCGTTCGGTAAGTTTTATATACATACACTCATACAAATGTACATGCAAGCAAACTTTGCAATTTAGAGAAACACTATGAAATGAAAGTCATTTTAAAAGCACGATTCTCAGGCAATTTCAGAATTCACATAATACTAACTACTTTAAAATGTAAATTCCAATACGTTTATTATGAGTTTTTTCCTCGAAGCAATTATTGATCGTACTCCTTCAAGTCTTAACTTTTGCGCTAAAAGCAATGCAAAAGTTATCGACAACGAATTAACATCAGACACTTTAAAGCATGCCACTTTGCAAGGTGGGAAGCTATACGCATACTACTCGGGGTACGCGTTGACAACGGAAATATAAAATGCCTTTGGATTTGAGGAAAAAGTGCTCAAAAAGATACCAAGATCGATGTTCACTATGATAGGGCAATCAGTAGTGTCTTATGGGACGGTGGTTTAGCTATTTAAAAACTACTTCAGTTATAGAGAAACACTTTCCCATTAAACTGCAACGTAGAGCGTGTGCTTTTTTTTAACTTTAATTTAACTGCGACACACCATAAAAACTTGAGGTTAATGGAAAAACTGCGATATACAAAAGTTGAGTTCGATTGGAGGTGCTTCAAAGTTTGAAATGTCCATCATCTGCATCCATCATTTGTATCAAACTGATACAAATTTCGAAAACATATTAAAATATTAAGTAAAAAATAGTTAATGTTTTGATTTGTTTGTTTTTTTGCGACTAATTCTTATTATCAGAAAATGAATAAACGTTGGTCATTAGATAATAAAAAATAAAAAAACTCAACATTTCAATGAATACTAAGGTCTTTTTCCAAATGTATCAAATTGATGCACAACATACTTTGTGTTACACAACATTTCCGATGGATGCGGGTTAATTACTTCCCAATTAAACCTGGTTCCCGAGACGTATTCATTTTAAACTTTTATTTCTCTCTCTTACACAAATGACGAGTATTTATTTCTAAACAAAATGCATTTAAATAATACATAAGTATTTAAGGACTCCATATCTTTGAAAAGATTGTCATAAATTTTGTATTATCATAAAATTAAGGCAAGAAAACCATGATTCTTCTCACAGACGTACGGTTATCTTCTCAGCAACTTTCAGTAAAGTTATCAAAGCAGGGTTAATGACTTGGAAGTGTTGGATTTGGGCAAATCCCTTAAAACGCGTCAGTAATTTTGTTTTTATATCACTGGTTACTGCGCCCAAAATCTCAAGTTTCACTCTGGGATAAGCTCTTAATCTATTCATCTGTTATAAAAACGTTATAGACATAAGGAAAATGATTATAGGGCTCTGCATATAGAAATATATACTCCCAAGGTTCCTATTAGAAAATCTTAAAATGATTGCGAACGCTCCGTTTTATGTCACAAACAACCAAATACACCCTAACCGTGAACCCTACTGGTGCTTCTGAAATAAAAACTACGCCTTGGCGCACCAAAAAAAAAAAACAATAAAAATCGTGATCACCCAAATCCTCTTATTTCTACACTCTTCTCTCATACAGTAGCATTACAGTGACTTAAAATGAAGTCAATATAAGATCTCTACTAATATTGAACACCTGCGAATAAAGTATGTGTTTTGTACACTTTCGTGCCATACATGAACAAAAGCCAAAAGAGGGTTAATGTAATCAAATATATGAATTGTTTATATTTAAATTTTTAAATAAGCGTACGTCATATATTAGGTTTGTTCCACAAGCTGCATGTAGAAAAACTCGAGCAAAGTTCAAACTGTCTGCGTATTTCAAATAAACTCTAAAACTTACGTGTGGAACGCGTATGTGTAACTCGAAGTGACTTCAAGTAGCTTGTGCAACAAACCTATTGTTTTCACTTTGTTTATTATAGGCGGCATACACGGTGCGTCTGACTCGCGAGTCATTTGTATACGTGTTGACCCGCCCTCGACTACATACAGTTGAATCATTCAGAGTCATGCCGGGAGTTATCCCAGCTAGTAAAATTGCCAGAAATCTGTTAGATATCCGTCAGACTTGTCGACAAAAAAGTCAGAAATCTGTATGATTTTGGCCGATATCGGCCAGAGAAGCGAATGGAGAGGTTGACAGGAAGTCTAACCGACACGACGTGGGATCGACGATTCAGACGGATATCTAACAGATGTCCGACCAAATAATCATGGAAAATAAGAATTATCAGACGTGTATTCCCTAAATCGGACATAATTCGATCAGACATATCGGATAAGGAAATAAATAAAATTCTCCAGACATTTCGCCCAGAAATCTGTTCGAAATCTGTAAGACTTGTCTAAGTAGTCAACTTTTTATTCCGACTTGTCTAATATCAGAAATTGTCTGTCAAATGTGCTAGCTGGGATGTTGGTGTAACACATATTTTTTTTTCAAAAACACATCCTTGCCGTAGATTTTTGGTAATTTTTTTTTTTTTTGTGGAAGGTGTTGCTCATTCTCCATATACATTTTTTTAACGTACTTTGTATGGACCAAGGTACTTCAATTTTGCCCTTTTTGAAGTGAAACTTCTTTAGCGGCGGTTGGTTGGTTGGGAGTAAATTGGCAAATTCAAAGGAAATTGCGCACGGAAATGGTGCAATGGAAACGATGCAACGGAAATGGTGCAATGGAAGAGGTGCAACGGAAATGGTTGGGGCAGAAACAAGTGGTATTAATTTCATAAAAATTTGCTAAGAAAAGGTTAAAGAATAACACTTACAAAAATACCAATACAAGAATGAAAGTAAAGGTGAGTACGTACCTAGATAAAGAAAGGGATAAAGGCAAAGGTAAAAATAAAAACAAAAACAAAGATGCGTAAAGATAAAGGCAAAAATGAAGACCAAGGTTAATTTAAACACTTTACTTATATATATTAGGGCAAAGGTGAAGGGGAATATGTAGATGAAGAAAATTATAAACATAAAAGTAAAGACAAAAGAGGAGGATGAGGATACCGATAAAAGTAAAGATGAAGATAAGGGAAGAAAGATTAAAATAAAGGTAATTAAAGAGGAAAGGATATAGAGAGAGACACAGAGACTCAATCTGGGAACAATTTTGGAATTTTAGAGAATTTCGGGATTCTCTGGACTTATCGATAAAATAATCGGTATTTTTACCGGTTTTGTTATCGATATTTTTATCGATTTGTTATCGATTTTGTAACCGATATTTTTAACTATTTTGTTAGCGATACTTTTTTAACGATTTTGTTATTATATTTATCGATTTTGTTATCGATATTTATCGATATTGTTATCGATATTTATCGATTTTGTTATCGAAATTTATGGATATTTTTATCGATTTTGTTATCGATATTTTTATCGATTTTGTTATCGATATTTTTATCGATTTTGTTATCGTTATTTTTATCGATTTTGTTATCGCTATTTATCCCTTTTTTTATGGATAATTTTATCGATATTTCTAACGGGTTTCTAATAAATTTTGCTACCAATATTATTATCGATTTTGCTATCGAAATTTTATCGAATTTTTCATCGATTTTTGTATCGACATTTTTATCGGTTTTGTTATCGATATTTTGTTGGATGTTAGTATCGATTTTTTTATCGATAGAGTATAAAGATAAAAGTGAAGATAATGGAAAAACAGAATAACATGACTGTTTATAAAACGAACAGGGGTAGAGGTAGGGATCTAGATAAGAAAAATGCAAAAAATATAACCTTAAGCAAAAGCAGATGTGTGTATGTATGTAAATTGGTTATGAGACAAAATAGATATGTACATAGTATGTAACGTAAGTTTCACTTCTCCAGTGTGGCCCAGGCGCACTTTTTTATATTAAAATTTAATGAGTTACAAAATTGCGTACTTTAAAATTTTGATCAATATTTGTTAAAATTCGATTTCCGAATTTTTTAGATAGTAAGTTATGTTTTCATAAAAAAGAATATATTTTTTTTTAAAGAAAAGTAGCCAAAACCTGATAAATGCCTTTTCGCTATTTACATTCTCGCCATCGTACATTTATGTATGTATATTGTATGCATACATTTTTTCGATCATTTTTCAAGTTTTTCTTTTAGTTTTGTTTTAAATAAAACTGTATTAAAAGATGCTAAGTCTTTTTATTCTAAAAACAATATTCTAGGTTCCGATTGGATGCTTTAGAAATGTCGCGGTTTTTGGCCACAGAAATCTGGTCACCGTACTAATTGCCCTAGTGTGTCGCTTTGTGGAATACAACCACTTTAGCCGAACCTGTACTCTGTAGAACCACAAAGGACATTCTCCTAATTGTCAAAGTATGCCGCTTTTTTCTGGGACAACCACTCTAACCTAACCTGTACTCTGTATAGAGTAATTGCCTTATTCATAAAAAATAAAGTAGTTTTATAAAAGGTTCATAAATTGAAAAATATATGTAAACGTCAATGTATAGAGCCTTTTAAACCTGCCTTATTTTTTATTACTTTGTAAACCTCGTAAATTCTATATATTTTTAGTTACCTTTGGGAAGCCGCTAAAAGATATTATTTTGCGAAATATAATTTATTACCCTCTTTTTGAAATTAGCGGCTATAACTTTAATTATGCGAATTAATTGTATGTACATATGTATGCACAGTTTAGAATGAAAGCAAAGTTTCAAAAGCACAGCTTTAATTTGTGATTTAATTTTTGTGCTTTAACTAAAATATTCCTTTTGAACAAAAAAGTAATTTTTTAATGCTTTTCAGTAACAAATATGTTTACTATGTATCTATTTGTAGTACATATACTAAATGACATGGGTATGTTTGGGCTTTAAATGTAATCCATTACACAAGGAAAATATTTGCTAAGTGTTTTTATTTCATGGAAATTTTTTCATACATACATATTTATGTACATCAAAATAACATTTAACACATTAAAAAAAAATAAGCTAAAATAAAATTGTAACTTCCTTTGCTTATTGCGATGCTATTGTGAAAATCAAATGCATAATAAACTGGTGAAAAAATAAAAAGCCA